GTGCCCTCACACATGCATTTCATAGGTATCTTGATATTTTACAAAACATTATTTTCACAGAGTAAGTAGACTACATTTGTAAACACGATTTAATCGACAGAGCGAAACTCCCTCAGCTTATGAACTCGTGTAAGCACGTGATATGCACATGTGAGGTTGGTACGTCCGCATTCCATGTGTTTCCTATATGACCTTCTTGAGGTCGTCTGGTCTCATGTCACTGTCTTCCCGTGAGTCTGTTTATGTCAATGAATTGGAAAGCTTTATTCCTGAAGTACGTGTGATTATACATTTCCCGGTAAAATCTCGATATCGGGTGTTGACATATCATCGGCACGCACTCTACTATTGTTTACCAGGGGCCTGTTCGTGTATGCGGAACAACCAGTTTGACCGTGTTAAATGTAACAATTTCGGGTATAAATCCTGGTGGACCTGCAAATGTGTATGCAAGGCTTGCAAGGCTTTCTCAAGGCTCGCCTGAAAGCAGCATCAGATTACTAGGTCCTTCCTTATTTAATAAACGAACAACAGTGGTCCGATCGGTTTGACCGTTTAAACGCAAACGGCCAACGTGTTATTATAATTTGCACTACGATATTGAATGCCCGATACGCAATACGGAAATGACGACACGGTGTACATGCATATTTCGATTAAGATAATTGAGTCCGAGCTGTACTTTTTCCGGAAGTACGTCATGAAAAAGTACAGCTGATGACGATGTGTGGAGCCACCTTAAGTAGTGACTGACATCTAAAGTCATAACTTGGCTGTAACTTCTGAATGACAGAACTTTATACCATAACAACATATGCCAAGGTGCAAACTTTGGTATTCTTGTTCAAATAAATTTACTTTGTACAGACTAATTAATATGGAACACAGCTTATTTGTGAATTATGATTCATTGAATCATGGTACTGAAAGATACAAAGACTCTGGGCATTTTCCCCTCAACTTCATTGTGGTTATTGACAATATGCATTTTACTGTAGAAACCCTGGAAAGGAGGACAGCCAACCACCTGTTCTGGAGTCCATCAGGACAATTTATAGTATTGGCAGGTTTGCGGAAGTAAGTTAAGTTGTTAATAGCTTTTAACTGGGTATATATTTCACTTTAATGCAAATTGCTGTTGAAACTTTTAATTTTCAATAATCAAGTTTGAGTTGAAATGTTAATAAAATATAAGATGAATGCATCATTGATATTTCCTCTGTAGTTCATGAATAGATTATTATATAGCACTTTCATTTTTTCAGTCAAAGTTTAATAGATTTCTTCCTGGAGCAAGTTTGTAGGGTAAACATTTCCTGAAACACAGTAAAATATCAACAGCTTTAACTCCAGCTCTGTGATTTTCTTATGAATGTGAAACTTGTACTGCCCCAAAATGATTTAAACCGTTATGGAAGAGTTCTTTACAACTGATATTTGCTATGACAGTATGAATGGCGTGTTGGAGTTTGTGGATGCGTCTGATGTGACTGTGATGGCACAAACAGAACACTTCATGGCAACAGATGTGGAGTGGGACCCCACAGGGCGATATGTAGTGTCTGCTGTCAGCTGGTGGGGGCACAAGGTACATACAAATTGTCAATGCTGTAGAATTCAGAACTTTGTAAACAGAGCTCATTCAGGGTTGAAACAACGACCAAAAAACATGAGTTGGCATTGAATAGCCCTAAAATCCCTTTTCAAATGTTAATGCCTGAAAAGTGTCAAAAATAGCATTTGATTGACAAATCTATTGAATTCTTATTTTAGTTGTTAAATGTTGCCAGTTCTTTTAAAAAATGAATTTAGAGAATACAAGAAAATAAAGCACTTTTGGCAATGTTAGAATGTTAGAGTTAATATTCTTAGTTCTGTGAGCGGTGATGAAACATACCAGTGGAAAATGGGGTGCAGTGTTAGTAGCACATGCAGTGTTATTTTCAGTAGCTGTTTTCAAGGCCATTTTTTAATCTGAACCCCCCCCCCCCTAAAAAGGCCTTAAAGGAAGGGTGTCTATAAGGAAATTATTAAGAGAAAAAATGCTTATCAATTGAAAATGAATGTAAAGACCCCCCTGACGTAATCGTTAGTTTTATATAAAAAATCTTTAAGTGACAATTGAATTAATGTCATTTTGCATTCTGTTACATATGCTTGTCTAATTTATGCATGTTTTCAAAAACAGAAATGGCCATGTTTTGGTTTTTAAGCTCATTTTGAAAACAGCAAACTATATTTGTGATTTACCATACCCCTTTTGGTATCCCCAGAAACCCACTTTCGATCTAAGTTTTACCTTAGTTTTTCCGTATGTCATAAAATAGGACATCTTTGAACAAAATAAAGAGGTGAAAATCTGAATATACTAGGGCCCAAAAAAGGGCCTTATAGACACCCTTCTTTTGATGGTAAAATTCCTGTACTAACCCTTTTTAACACCGGAAGTTGAATGTTTTTGCTAAATATCCGCCTGTTCAAATTCTTTTTCAGACAACTTGGTTTTTGACAGTTACTGAAATTAGAACCAATGTAATGATACACTGAAATAAGAACCAAAGTAATAAGCTTTAGGAAAATAACTTTTTATGAACTAATTTTAAATATCTAATGTCTTGATGTAGACATATCACTTTTTGGGTGATTTTATATAGCATGCATTGTTACAAGGCTGACTCAAGATTAGAACAGAAACATGTGGTAGCATACATCCTGAAACAGCCCTGTTAGAAGTTGTACAGAATTTTAGAATTTTGGAGAGAATGCTTGTATCTTTCCATTTGATTATTTTATTTATTTACTATTGGCAGGTTGACAATGCCTTTTGGATCTGGTCATTCCAAGGCCGCTTGTTACAGAAGCAGCCATTGGACAGGTTCTGTCAGTTGCTATGGAGACCCAGACCGCCTTCACTATTGTCCAGCGATGCCATTAAGGTAGGATGTTATTTTTGATGAATATTCTTTTTACTTGTTTTGCAATTATTTTTTATTCACTGACCACATTGCTGGACAGGACATTACGTGCTTGCCTTTTCTGGTTATCTATCTGATGGAGTTTGTGGTTAGCTCCCTTTCACTGATATTACAAGTCTCATATCCATCAAACTTGATATACAATTTATACATCTTTATTTGGGACATGTTGGCCCCTGTGGCCTATATTTCCACTGTACCGTCTAGTTTCACTTTGTGTTTAGTTACTTTTTTGGCAGCTACATTTTGCATTTAGCTCCACTGCATGAAGAGTAGGGCTAATATAGAGGAATTTAGCTCCACTGCATGAAGAGCAGGGCCCATATAGAGAAATTTTGACTGTACTTCTCTTCTTCTTTAAATTTATTCAGTTCCCCACTATTCACAACATAAACATGTAAAAGGCTTAAATAGATAAATTACATCTTACCTGCCAAGATTGGCTCTTAGGTCCAACCCCATCTTAGGGACTTACTCCTTGAATCATATCTTGAAAAGGCTGAGATCCCACCCTAAAACCACATATAATTTGTTAGGCATAAAGTGGTAAATGCAATCCTAATGCTAGGAGCAGCCATTCAGTCTGACTTTAAGTGCTGCATGGAATCTGCTGAGATCTCTACACCATATCGACATAATTTTTGGGCATGAAAAGACATGCATTCCTCCTGGGGATTAATCCTGAGTTTTGGTTGAGATTCCCACCTTAAAACTAAAAATATAAATGCTTGGCATGAAGAGACATCAAAACTATGCTACCAGCAGTGGTTCCTTTGTTAGCTTTGACCCTGAGGACTTAGTCTTGGTCTCCGACCATCAAGTATATACTATTGCTAGACCCTGGGGGTTGGGGTGGGGTGGGTGNGTCCCCGTCCTTGGGAATTGGACTATTTCCTGAGTCATTACATGGAAACAGTTGAGATCCACACTTAAGAACCATATACAGGTATAGAGTTGTTAGGCATGTAACCGAGATTGGTCCTTGGGTTAGCATTGATGCAGGTGATTTAGATCCTGGGTCATAACAAATTAAACATGAAAAAGGTTGATGAATCCTGTAACCATAGTTTATGAATGAGAATATTTTGCAGAGATTGCTTAAAGATACAGGCTGTCTTGGTCTCTTGTGTTTTTGTTTATACATCATTCATTGATTCTTTAAATGATATGCAAGTTAAACAATGAACCATTGTCTTTATTTATGTGTATCATATATTTAGAGTGGTATCAGTGCTGTTTAATTCACTGATATTGATAAATAAAAAAAAAAAATTGTGTATGTTTATCATGTCTACATTGGTGAGTTCATGTTTCAGAGTATCAAGAAAAACATGAAGAAGTACACCGAGCAGTTTGAGATGATTGACAGACTTCGACAATCCAACGTTTCAACTGTAAGTTTTCCAATATGGATATGATAGTGTCTTTCATTGGACAGTATTAATAAGTGAATTCCACTGATACTGATAGGTGATGTAGATTTCCCAGTCAACAGGGCTGCTTTCATTTATTGCGATCCAAATGGTTGGATCAGATGGACCAGAGTTGTTTGTTTATGAAATAGGGACGGACGTAGTGATTTCATGTTATTTTCTGGCAAAGTCTTTTAAGGTCTGCATAAACATTTACAGATCTGTCGGGTTTTACTTCTGAAATATTTCATTTAAAGAAAAGACAACCTGGTTGATCTGAATGTTAACATTAATAAGCCCCAGATGTAAAGAAACTACAGCCAAGATGGTTGCTGATAGTTATGATTTGTATAGTTTGATAAAAAAAAAAATGGAGCATCAGATACCCTAGGACATTAAGTGGGTAAAATACAAAAGCTCTTTAAGTATAAGAAAAATGATCATTTTAATAAAAAAAATCATATCACTGCATTGAAATTCCTTATCATTTATGATTTCTGAAAGAGTAGACTTGTGTTGAAAGAGATGTATCTTGGGACATCTCATGAAAATTATGCCAAATATTGATTCAAGAAGTGCTGAAAGTGGCTTTTAGTTGGTTGATGGGAAGTGAATATATTTAGCAGTATTTTTCATTTGGAATTAATTGTTATTTGACCTAAGTCAAAGTGTAACTAGAAAATGCACTTGTCAAAATATTGCTGTTTCTATTGTAGGAGCTGCTAGAGAAGCGCCGCGCATTGATGGCAGAATATGAGAGATTCCGGGAAAACAAATTGCAGGAGTATGAAGAGATGAGGGAGAGGAGGATAGAGCTGCGTAACGGTAGGGAGAGCTGACATTCTGAAGCTCGCTGTCTAATAATATTAATATCTTCTGATTAAGTAACTGTAGGGAGAGCTGACATTCTTAAGCTCGCTGTCTAATAATATTAATATCTTCTGATTGAGTAACGGTAAGGAGAGCTGACATTCTGGAACTATCTGTCTAATCATCTTATTATCTTCTGATTTAGTAACGGTAGGGAGAGGTGACATTCTGTAACTCTCTGGCTAATCATCTTAATATCTTCCGATTAAGTAACGGTAGGGCGAGCTGACATTCTTAAGCTCGCTGTCTAATAATAGTAATATCTTCTGATTGAGTAACGGTAAGGAGAGCTGACATTCTGTAACCCTCTGTCTAATCATCTGTATATCTTCCGATTAAGTAACGGTAGGGGGAGCTGACATTCTGAAACTCTCTGTCTAATCATCTTAATATCTTCTGATTAAGTAACGGTAGGGAGAGCTGACATTCTATAACTGGCTGTCTAATCATCTGTATATCTTCTGATTAAGTAACGGTAGGGAGAGCTGACATTCTGTAACTGGCTGTCTAATCATCTGTATATCTTCTGATTAAGTAACTGTAGGGAGAGCTGACATTCTGTAACTCTCTGTCCAAACATCTTAATATCTTCTGATTAAGTAACGGTAGGGAGAGCTGACATTCTGTAACTATCTGTCTAATCATCTGTTTATCTTCTGATTAAGTAACGGTAGGGAAAGCTGACATTCTGTAACTCTCTGTCTAATCATCTGTTTATCTTCTGATTAAGTAACGGTAGGGAGAGCTTACATTCTGTAACTCTCTGTCTAATCATCTTTATATCTTCTGATTAAGTAAAGGTAGGGAGAGCTGACATTCTGTAACTCTCTGTCCAAACATCTTAATATCTTCTGATTAAGTAACGGTAGGGAGAGCTTACATTCTGTAACTCTCTGTCTAATCATCTTAATATCTTCTGATTATGTAACGGTAGGGAGAGCTGACATTCTATAACCTGCTGTCTAATCATCTTAATATCTTCTGATTGAGAAACGGTAGGGAGAGCTGACATTCTGTAACTCTCTGTCCAAACATCTTAATATCTTCTGATTAAGTAACGGTAGGGAGAGCTGACATTCTGTAACTCTCAGTCTAATCATCTTTATATCTTCTGATTAAGTAACTGTAGGGAGAGCTTACATTCTGTAACTCTCTGTTTAATCATCTTTATATCTTCTGATTAAGTAACGGTAGGGAGAGCTGACATTCTGTAACTGGCTGTCTAATCATCTGAATATCTTCTGATTAAGTAACGGTAGGGAGAGCTTACATTCTGTAACTCTCTGTTTAATCATCTTTATATCTTCTGATTAAGTAACGGTAGGGAGAGCTGACATTCTGTAACTCTCTGTCTAATCATCTTTATATCTTCTGATTAAGTAAAGGTAGGGAGAGCTGACATTCTGTAACTCTCTGTTAATCATCTTAATATCTTCTTTTTGAGTAATGGTAAGGAGAGCTGACATTCTGTAACGCTCTGTCTAATCATCTTAATATTTTCTGATTAAGTATTAAAAGTTAAGAGTTCATTGCTGGAAAGCAAGCAATAATTTGTAAACAAAAAACAAAACAAAACCAAGCAGTTGACGTTAATTAATAACTGCTAAATCCTATAAGAGTGAACAAATTTGCCAACTTTCACTTTCACATTTACTAATTTGAAGCAAAAAGATGCACACATGATCATTGACTTGCTCTGAAATATGCTTTGCAGAAACATTACCAATTTTTTTCTCATTTCAAATATTTGAATAGTTTTAACATGAAAATGTTAGCCTCTACAGCAATTAATTATTGGGTAAAATATGCCAAGCCAATAATGAATTCCGAATTCATGATCATTAACAGTTCAAGAAGCTGATGCTTGATTTTCACATGCCTTTCATTTCAGGCATTGATTCAGATGAATGCTACGAAGAAGAGTACGATGAAGAGACCGTTGAGTTTTTGAAATCTGTCGAAGAGACCATTGTTGACGAGTAGACAGTTGGCCTACTTCACTAGCGACCCAGATACATCACCGAAGGGTGTGCCTCTAGACAAGGGTGTGCCTCTAGACAGACCCGGTATCATACATTTACCACCAGCAGCCATCTTGAAAACTGGTTCTGACTAGAGGGCAAGCTCGCTGCTGTATTAGCATTGAATGCAGTGGACTATATTCTTGATTACAATGAACTACCATTTTATCTTCGGGGATATTTACCTTGAGGAGACTAACAGTAATTTTATTATGAAAAGTAGCTACATACCTACCATGAATGATTTCATAAGTTATTGCATGACCTGTCACCAGGTACATTCTGTTATAGTGCTGCTGTATTACTTAGTCCTTCTACCATTGTGTAATTACAGCTTCTTGTCGCTATCTTTATTATTTGGCCATTACTCAGGACAGTTCCCTGTGGCATACAGGATAGCACCATACCATGTTAGTCCTTTTTGTTTCTCACAAGTGTGCTTCCATGTACACCAATCTATCCAGGGGATACCAAGGGGAATTTGTCAATCAAATAAAATTTTCTTTGTGATATTTACAAAATGTTTGTCTTGATTTTTTGTTCACCTGGCCCGAACGGCCACGTTAGCTTATACTGTGGTGCGGCGTCCGTCGTCAAAACAACTTTTTATTAACCAAAAGGCCTAGGTTGACGATGTTTGGCCAGAAGCAAACTGGGACGGAGGGCTACCAAGTTTGTACAAATAGATGACCTTCACCAATTTTCAAGGTCACAGGAGTCAAATATGTTAAAAACTTTTAAACAACTTCTTCTGAATAACCAAAAAGCCTAGGGTGATGATATTTGACCGGTAGCATGCTGGGATGAAAGGCTACCAAGTTAGTTCAAATGAATGACCTTCACTCATATTCAAGGTAACCGTGGTCAATTGTCTAATAAAACACTTTGAACAATTTCTGAATAACCAAAAGGCCCAGGATGTTTATATTTGGCCAGTAGCATGCTATGATGAAGGGCTAGCAAATTTGTTCAAATGAATTACCATGAGTTGTTTTCAAGGTCACAATCAACTTCTTCTGAAACATCAAAATTTGCAGGATAATGATAGCTGGCCTGTAACATGATGGGATGAAGGGCTACCAAGTTTGTTCAAATGAATGACCTTCACTCATATTCAAGGTCGCATGGACCAAAAGGCTGAGGGTGATGATATTTGGCCATTAGCATGTTGGGATGAAGGGCCACCAAGTTTGTTCAAATGAATGACCTTTACTTATATTCCAGGTCACATGGGTCAAATTTGTTTAAAATCTATTAACAACTTTTTCTGAATAACCATGAGGCCCAGAATTATGATATTTGGATGAAATGCTATCAAGTCATTTGAATGACCTTGATCCACTTTCAAGGTCAGATATGTAAATGACCTAATGTCATTAAACAAAAGGTCTAGGATGGTGATATTTGGCAAGTTGCATGATGAACTGAAAGGCTTTAAAGTTTGTTCATCGTAATGACCTTGTTCAAAAATCAAGGTCACATGGGTCAAATGATTTAAAATCTTTTAACAGGTTGTTTTGAATGACTTATAATCATTAATACTGATATTTTGCCTGTAGCTTTATTTAAGATCACTTTTTAGGTTACAATGTGAGATTGATACCAGGTGAGCGATGCAGGCCCATTGGGCCTCTTGTTTAAGGATCCTTATATCACTTCCAAAAACTATAACTGCGACTTGGGATCTTTTCTTCTTGCATGGCAATAGCTTTAATAAATCATTTCTGAAAATAAACCTCTACCTTGCAGAGCTTTTATGAGAGAAGAAAAGGTGTATTAAATGAAAAAGATATCAACAACAGTGTTTTTAGAGTAAAACTGCAACAGCACAAGACTGGGATTCGAACCCTAGACCAACTGAGCTACCTGAACAGCAGTAGTTTATAACATATTCAAAACAAAAGGGAAGTTTACTGTCTGTATGAATATCTATAGTGGAATTGCCAGTGGTTTGCCTTCAATGGGAGAGGGTTCCTTTTAAAGAAAATTGTAGATTCCTTTTCAAAAAATGTTAAATACCCAGTATGCTGAAAAACTTGAGCAAGATGGGATAGCCCAATTTATAGAATTTTCTTGACCAAGGTCACATGAATTTATTATCTTTGAAAATTTTAAACAACATCTTCTGAGTACCCAAAAGACTCGGATAATGATAATTGGCCAGTAACATGCTGGGATGAAGGACTACCAAGTTCAGTCAAATGAATGACCTTGGCATTTACACAAGGTCATAGGGGTCAAATGTGTTGAAAACTATCAAACTATATCGATGTCATTCCCATGGCATTTTTGTTTCCTTGGCTATCAACTGCATAAGGCTGTCTATGAAAACATTATTTTGGATTAAAAGTCGAGGCCATTAGCCATAAATTCAATTTCTATGATCGATTTATATTGGTGGGCACAGATCCACTTGTAAACAGGTCAAGAAACCAGTTCTATTTGGTTTAGTCGAGATTAAGGCAACCTGGATTCATTAGATTTGCAAGATCACAGCATGACCCTGAATAGGGACTTGCATTCAACACATTTACCTGGTTGTAGTGCCGTGAATGTTAACGGTTAAACGATACAGCTTTAGGACATTCAGGGCTTGTTTTTTGAATGTTGATTATCACAATGTCTGGTGTATCAAGATACATTTATGCAAGTGCATACTCAGGTATGTTGCTAAAAATAGCAACATGGAGAGGAGTGATTCTTATCACACACTTCAGTTGTATCAAGAAATCCAGCAGAACTATTTCCACTTGCTTTGGCTACTTAATCCTGTTAAGGCCACTGGGTCCAAAGGGCATCCAGTGCGATCCTTTGCTTTCACTTGGGTATAGGTTGAACAAGTCTGTTTCAGTTATTTTTCTGCAGTTCTAGACCATGTTGATTTTAGCCTCCATTATTTCCTATTTCCATCAGCCATCCAGTAGATTGTCTCTCTATTAATGTCATGTTTGTCTTTCCTTAGTAAATACCCTACCCATCTCCTTTTTCTCCTTGAAATTCCCTTTTGTCGCATGTATTTGCTTTCCTTGTTTCTGCCATTGTTTCACAAAATGTCATCAGATCAATGTACATGTACATTATGGCACATACTATTTTCCTGAAGTACTAAAATAATGGTTTCCAGTGAATATAACAATTAATTTTTCATAAGGGCATCAAACTATGTACAAAGGTACATCATGGGAAGGCAGTGTCTCTTTCTAAAACCAGGTTACTGTGACCTCAATTTGACCTTTACTTGAAGTTCTAACATATTGGTTTCTGTAGCATATCTTTGCCACTGTGTCATGAATGGCTATCAATTTGTATATAGATATAACATGGGAAGGCAGTGTCTCTTTCTAAAACCAGGCCACTGTGACCTCAATTTGACCTTTACATATTGGTTTCTGGAGCATATCTTTGCCACTGTGTCATGATTGGCCATCAATTTGTATATAGATACATCATGGGAAGGCAGTGTCTTATTCTAAAACCAGGCCACTGTGACCACAATTTTACCTTTTTGTTCAAAACAATGGTTTCTGAAGCATAATCTCAGTGGCTGTTTCATGAATTGGCATCAAACTTTGTTCAAAGGCGATGGGTTACACCTTATTGTTAGGTCAGTGTGACCGAAATTTGACCTTGACTTGGAGTACTTAACTCATTCACCCCTGAAGACACATTTGAACTCTTCCAATTCAAAGGTTGGAATAGTTAATAACAACATTTCAGGGGTGAATGAGTTAAATAATGATTTCTGGAGCGTATCTCGGCCACTGTTTCATGAATGGCCATCAATTTGTATATTTATATATATAAATGGGGCAAAGAAGTAATTCCAACAGTGTGGACAAGTTTAGGATGTCAAGTTTTTGGAGCGATCTGCTCTTTTATCAAGACACAGTGAAACAGAACAGTTACATGTTCATATACATCATGGGATGATAGTGTGTCACATCCTAAAACCAGGTCTCAAATAAGATAACAGAAGATTTTGCAACCTCTGGCCCAGTTGTCTCCAATGTTACTTTGACCTTGAGGTTTGGTCAGTTGACACCTTGGTTAATTATGACCAACATCGTTTCTTGTCATAAGAAAATGTTAAGCAGTGAAGATGTAAAATTTGACCTTGACCTTTGATCTTATGACCTTGAGGTTAAATCAGTTAACACCTTGCTTGATTCCGACCAATTCTGCTTCATATTATCATTAACAAAATGTTTAAACAGTTAAAGAGATGTAAAATTTGACCTTGAGGTTTGGTCGGTTGACATCTTCTTTTAATCTGACAGCTTCATTTCATAATTTCATAAAATGTTTTGCGGCTAAGAGATGTAAAATTTGCCAATATCAAAGTAACAGCAACATTTACGTCCAAAACTTTTTAAAGCCATATTGCACATGTACCATCTTGTGAAATTTCAGAAAATTTGGCCTTCTGTAAGAGTCGTGTTTTTTTTTACAATAAATTCCTGTTTCCGTTTTCAGTAACAGCGACCTTGACCTTAGGATATTTATTAAACCACTATTGCACATCTGCATATAATCACAGTGCATCATCATGAGAAATTTCAGAAAGTTAAGCCTTCTGCAAGGCCCTTATCTGATGTATTTTGACAATATATTCCCGGTGTAGAAGTCATTTCCTTCCCCGTCTGAAAGTTCCCCAGGGAAGAAATAGACTAGTTAGTTTTTTCCCCCAGGGGAAAAAATCAGCTAGCTAATTCTCCCCCCCCCCCCATCTCCATAGTATTGTTAATGGGGGATATTGGTGACTAGCCAATCCTTTCCCTACTCTGTATTAGTTATTAGAGGGGAAGCTTTTGGCTAGCTGATTCTTTTCCCCTCTCTATATTAGTAACCAGGGGGAAACTATTGGCTAGCTGATTCTTTCCCCTTCTCTGTTAATAGTAACAAGGGGGGAAACTGTTGGCTAGCTGATTCTTTCCCCTTTCTCTGTATTAGTAACCAGGGGGAAACTATTGTCTAGCTGATTGTTTCCTCCCCCTCTGTATTAGTAACCAGGGGGAAACTGTTGGCTAGCTGATTCTTTACCCTTTCTCTGTATTAGTAACCAGGGGGAAACTATTGGCTAGCTGATTCTTTCCCCTTCTCTGTTAATAGTAACAAGGGGGGAAACTGTTGGCTAGCCGATTCTTTCCCCTTTCTCTGTATTAGTACCAAGGGGAAGGAAACTATTGGCTAGCTGATTCTTCCCCCCTCTCTGTTAATAGTAACTAAGGGGAAACTACTGTCTAGCTGGTTCTATTTTTAGTAACAGCGATCTTGCCATTAGGAATTTTTTAAACCACTATTGCACACCTGCATACAATAACAATGTATCATCATAAGAAATTTCAGGTAGATTAGCCTTCAGTCGGTACTGCATGGCCCGTATCTGATGACACTGGGATTACTATGGAGCACCCGTATTAATGTGACCAGGGGCCTTAAATTAACAAAACATTTGCCATAAACTTTAACATTCATCATGTTTTTTTTGGACGCATCTATTTTAATTTCAGAGGCAAAAATGTTGCTAGAAATTGAAGTAGCAAGTTCTGCAAAATAAACATTTTTTTAATTCAAACAAACAATGTTTTACAAAGCATAGGAAAACATTTATTGTACAACTTGCTTTTAAAACATCACCTAAGTTCACTGATAAAGATATTAAAAGTTCATCAAACTCAAACATGTTTCATTTGATTTCATAATGATGTTTGTATTATGCAAAAGTCAACAGTAGCATTTGATATTTAAATTGTTACAATTGCATGCATATTACAATATCATTGAAATCAAAAATGTGTGTTTAAAATGTTTTGGACGAATCACCTCATTCTGTATGCTCGAGACCTGAGCTTTACACGAAGAACAATACCAGAACTTAGAAGCACTTCCTGTGTACAACACTAGGACCATTTTCATCATACTCCGCCTTACTGATCCACATCTGCTGGAAAGTAGACAGAGAGGACAAAATGGATCCACCAATCCATACAGAATACTTTCGCTCAGGTGGAGCTATAATCTTGATCTTCATGGTGCTTGGAGCTAGAGCGGTGATTTCTTTCTGCATCCTGTCTGCTATTCCAGGATACATTGTTGATCCTCCTGACAAAACTGTGTTGGCATATAGATCTTTTCGAATGTCAACATCACACTTCATAATTGCATTGTAAGTGGTTTCATGAATACCACAAGCCTCCATTCCAAGAAAAGATGGCTGATACATGGCTTCTGGACAGCGGAACCGCTCATTGCCTATTGTAATGACCTGCCCATCTGGTAACTCGTAACTCTTTTCCAGGGAAGAGGAGGAAGCAGCAGTGGCCATTTCCTGTTCAAAATCCAAAGCAACATAGCAGAGTTTCTCTTTTATGTCTCTTACAATTTCTCTTTCTGCGGAAGTTGTGAAAGAATATCCTCTCTCTGTCAGAATTTTCATGAGATAATCTGTCAGGTCACGCCCAGCCAAATCAAGTCGTAGAATAGCATGAGGAAGAGCATAGCCTTCATATATGGGAACAGTGTGGGAGACACCATCACCAGAATCCAGGACTATACCTGTTGTACGACCAGAGGCGTACAGTGAAAGCACAGCTTGGATACCAACATACATTGCAGGTGCATTGAAGGTTTCAAACATAATCTGAGTCATCTTCTCTCTATTGGCCTTAGGGTTAAGAGGAGCTTCAGTGAGGAGGGAAGGGTGCTCTTCAGGTGCCACACGCAACTCATTGTAGTAGGTGTTGTGCCAGATTTTCTCCATGTCATCCCAGTTAGTGACGATTCCGTGCTCAATGGGATATTTAAGAGTGAGGATACCTCTCTTGCTCTGGGCCTCATCACCAACATAGCTGTCCTTTTGTCCCATACCAACCATGACACCCTAGGAAGACAAAAGTAACTAATATGAAGAAAATGTTTGGTTGTTTATAGTGTAAATGTCTATGGAAACAAGACTCAAAAGGTTTAAAAAGTCAACAAACTAGAAGTGCAAACACCACCACATGAACCTCGTGCAAGATTTATATCAATGTGCCAGGTGTTTATAGGGGCCAGTACAGGGACCCATTCCCAATTGAACAAGAGGCCAAGAGGGCCTTTATCGCTCACCTAGAAATGTTAGCAAAATTGAAATTGAAATAGTCAGATGTTGCTGGTAGTGTACATGTATTACATGGTTAGTCAGGGGGTATATTTATATGCAATTAGACAAAATCCTGTCATTCCTAAGGAGGATTTTGAAGAATTTGCTGTTTCCCCCATCAGGCATCGCCCCTCTGCCCCCAGGGGGGTCAGACCCATGGTTGATTCAAAATTAAGTCCCCTTCACCCAAGGATGCTTTAGACCAAATATGGACAATATTCTGTCATTCCTACAGAAGAATAATAATTTTAAAGCTATTTTTCTATTTTCCTTATTAAGGCCCCAACCCTCCACCCCCAGGGGGTTCAAACCCACTATTTATACAAAATGTATTTCCCTTCCCCATAGCATACTACTGTTCAAATTTGATCAAAATACCTTCATCCCAATGGAAGAAGAATGATATTAAAGCTATTCCTCTTTCTACCACAATACGCTGTGTTATTCCACTCTCAGATCATTGTATAAACATGCAGACTGTTGATAAATGTGAGTTATACACCACACGTGGTACATGACCTTCCATAGTCGAGAAGATGAACCTTGACCGGACGACTTTTTTCACACGCTTTTGCCGCATGCTGTTTAGTGGATGTCGTCTGCTGTCAACATCCGGCAAATGCTGGTGACTTTTGTGAGGTTATGCGATGGGAAAAGGGGGTTATTAAGGCAATACCAAAAGAAGATGATGCTTACAGATTTGATTGCTAGTTTCAGGCAAAATTGCTATAGATGCTCGATATCTTTTCGACGCCATACCGCCATCCGAACAAGATCTGTAACTTGCATTACTCAAATACCCTGTTCCTCTAATAGTTTGCTAGGTCCCCACAGTGTTCTTAGATAAATTATTAATAATAAAATAATAATAACTTCAGGTTCTTAAAGGGGCTGGTCGGGGAAAACATGTCCCATTTGCTAAAATGGCATACACATGATTAAAATACCTTCGTATGAAACATACCGATTCAAATTTTCCTGAAATTCACTCCATAAGAGTAAAAATTAAAATTATGAAGAAATCCTTAATCGCCACCTGACAGTCTAAAACTCTCAATTGACCCAGATCAGTGATGTAATTTTACCGCATGCGCGTCATCAACAAGGCCAAATGTAAACATTGTGGCGAAAGAAAAAGATGCATGCAAAAGTCATGACAGGCACGAGGTATCAATACTGTTATATATAACAACATATAGGTAGACATACTACACTTGCATCATACGTGACCTTTGAAAACAATTATTTACGTATAGTATTGCTGTCTTGTCCGCTAGTTGAGTCTGACATGACTGATAGACGGCGTGCTACTGTTGTTATCTTCACTGCCTCACTTTCGAAACAACCACGTGACATATATAAATAGATCTGCGCTAAATTTACGCGGATTTCAGTGGTCAAAACTGGACATTGCAAGCAGAACTCGACCATCATATTGCCGTGGTATAACTTTTGGAAGGCCAGAGAACGCATTTAGACCCATTTATTTTGTTTTTTTTCCCCCGACCAGCCCCTTTAAATACCGCTTTATCACAACCTTATTCGTTGGTCATCTCAAAGCGGCTCATAAATTACTATCTGGTCACAGGGCCTTTGCAACCAGCCAATATCTTTCTCAACTCCCTAGGAAACACACACCTGGTGCTGCAATTTTGGCTATCACAGCTAGCGTTCAACAATTGGAGCACTGCCCAACCATGTACTCATTTGCAGCTGAGTAGACTGGAACAAACGGAGTATGTTGTTCATAGATACAACACAGTGCCATGACGTGACTCAAACCTGCAACCCTTTGATCATGAGCCCGGCCTCCTACCAAATTTGGTATGAAGCATCTTTGGGTGAAAGGGAACCAATTTTGTATAAACGGTGTGTCTCATCTCCCTGGAGGCAGAGAGGCAGAGCCCAATAGGGGAAATAGAGGTAAAACCTTTAAAATCCTTCTTCTACCATAGGGATTAAGGGATTTTATCCTTATTTTGTCTGGAGCATCCTTGGGCCAAGGGGACTCAATTTTGTTTAAGCATTGGGTTTGGTCTCCCAGGGGGCAGAAGGACGGGGCCCAATAAGAGAAATAGAGGTAAAACCTTTAAAATCCTTAGTCTGGAGCATCCTTTGTCCAAGGGGTCTCAATTTTTTTTATAAACGGTAGGTATGACCCTCCTAGGGGCACAGGGGTGGGGCTCTGTTTGAAGTTTGCTCTCGCTATATCTCAAGTACTTGATGGATCTTTCTGGAATTTCATATGTGCTGGATCTTTCTGAAATTTCATATGTGCTTACCCTTACAGCACCTTCCATGGATCGAGTGCTATATCTTGACTTCATACCAATTATTTTACACATATTCAGGTGAGCGATTCAGGCCCTCTGGGCCTCTTGTTTATAACAGCAATATAAGTCATGTCAGCGCCTTTCCACCTACTATATTAGATGCCGATCATTGGCTACTTCACAATTTGAAAAGGCCATATTTTTTCACAATGCTGCGAAAAAAACCCACAAATGAAAGACAAAATTCACATAACAAACGAATGAAATGTACGCTTGCATTCGCGAATGTACTTTCTGTTTCGGAGGCTTTAACAACCGCAACTTTTCTGACACTCTCACCCCCAGTTTTATTCTGTTGTTTCCGCCTTTAGTCGATATGCGTCATATGAGTCATTCGCTCTCATTAATAGCTCGATTCTGATTGGATAAAATTTTATTTACAGCCAATGGTTAGTCGTCTAATGTAATGATTTGGCTCGTGTCAAAATTAACTACCCGGATGTTAAAAATCAAACTGTAAACAAACTATGTCTCGTAATGGTAAATACTACGTTAAGAAATTGAAAAAGGAGTCGGATAGTTCACAGAAGAGTTTGCTTGGCTTTTTTTCAAACGGAAAATGTGCCTGCTTCGGTTACTAATACGAAGACGACATTTGACCTTGGTGACGCTGATGATTCGACAGAGAAAACCTTGTCTGAATTGGCCCATACTATCGACCCCGAGTCAGATCATCCAATTTCTATTTCTATTATTTTTTTGGTTAAATGAACAACCTTTGTACTTTTCTGCAGACTTCTTTAACTAACAAACACCTCAAAGATTGAATGAGAATTAACTTCAAATCAGCTATAAACCTTACCCAGATGGAGTACCAGGAAATCATAAATTTATTCAAAACCACTTAAGACAGTCAGATGAATTTTCTTCGTGTTATAGTTTCTAAAGATCACAGTGACACACTATATTATGTGCATCTTGAAAGTTTAAGAAATGAAACATACAAAAAAATCAAAATATGCTGCTGTTTTTTTTGTTAATGTTGACCACTAGACCATGTATAATTGGTGTCTTATAGCCCCTTTTTGACCAAAGTTCAGGTTTTCTTCATCATTTTGCAATCTCACGCTTCATTTTTTTCACAATTTTGCGCATTGAATTTCACAAAGCCAAAAAGGGAGTCTTCACAATATTGAGTGGAAAGGTGATAACTTCTTGGAGAATGCTTCATCATTTGCTTACTGCTCTGTTTTGCTTTGCAAAAAAAAGTGGCAAGTCGATGTCACATCTTAGCAATTAGCATTAACATGATAAAATTAAAAAGCCAAGTTGTGATAATTTTCTCGTCAAAATTTTCTCTGAAAATGTAGAAATATGCTGACATAATTTCATCATTGTGACATTATTCATAGATTATGTCAACATCTTCTCAGAATATATTCGACGCCTTTAAAAAACTATGTCAACATTTAGATTCAGAAGTCGATGGCAGAGATAGGCCACCATAATACCTATTATAGCTGCATTATTATTTTGCATGCATATTTATTATTTCCTTATGTTTTAACGGAGGTGTAAATTCACTGGAGTGTAAAACTATATTTAAGCTTGGCAATATTAACCGGAAATCACAGCTGATGCCCAAACATCTTTTTAATTGGATGTTCAAACTTGAATCAATCAACATTATAATAGGCCTAACAGCAATTCAAGATTTTCTTCATTTTAAAATGATAGAAGAGTTGCTCTTGTTTTGATATTTTGTAAAATCAATGTTGCCGAATACAGCAGTGTCGAAACAGACGGCCGCCATGCTAGTAGTAACTAGACCTTCCTTGTCTGGACAAAAAAGAATCACTGATTTGCAAAACATTTTAGTATTAATACAAAAATTAGTAAATACAAACGATGAAATAAATTTGGAAATGTTTTAGTTTCCTGAATGAAATATGTTATTATAGTATAAGCATACCCTTATTCGTCTATTCGGTAATTCACCTAAGGGCCCAGAAACAGGTCACTCGATCTTCTGGTGCTTTTGAATCTATTTAAGAGGATGAGTGTAGGTGGGTCGATGAATGGGTGGGGGAACGTTATTTAGGCGATTTCATAAAACGTTTAAATAAATTAACCAAGCGTAAATGACTCGACGTTTATAAGACAAGTTAAATCACAACCGATGTTTTAAATCCTTACCTGATGCCGGGGTCGTCCGACTATAGACGGAAAAACAGCTCTTGGAGCATCGTCACCGGCAAAACCTGCTTTACACATTCCCGAACCATTATCTATAACAACTGCTGCAACGTCGTCATCCATTGTGCTTCAAAGTCGTTGATGTTATGAGATTTTATTATCTGTTGTCAAATTTCTGGCGGGCGTCAATTTCCGCTTAACGGTGCATGTCCCGGATGTTACCATATTTGGTGGTCGCGCGCTATCGATCACTAACCATGACCAAATTTGGAAATTCAAACCTATTTTTGACAATACCTACTTAGAGTTGTCGTTCTTTACATAAACAATCACGTCTTGTTGGCTTCAACGCTAGGATAAATGTGACTTTTCTCAGTCTTAAAATAGTGGTGGGAAGATCTTCTTACCAATCAGGGTTTGAATATGGTAAAGTATGTATAGTACACAGTGTGCTGATGTAGAAAATAAGGATATTTTTAATACATTGTGATTGATTTTATGGATCTGGTGAGCCCGCGATAGACAGGGACATATCTTACTTTCTTAATGATTATGACGTGGATTCTTCTACTTCTACATTATAATAACCGCCTTCAACAAGTTGAAGATTATATTATTTGGAGATCATTGCATAAGGTGGGAAAAATAAATAAGTAAATAGATATATAATTAAATAATTAAATAGGGATTTATGGTAATTTAGCTCTATGGCGGATTTGAAGGCAGTTATTTTATTAAGTTCACAGATGTCTGGAGGGAGGCGGTTCCAATCAGATATTGTTCGTGGGAAAAATGAATGTTTTCCGACCTGGACCAAGAAGGTACTTGAAATGAATGAGCATGGGCGTACCTGGTGAGACGTGATGGGGGCTTTAAGATGTCCATGGATATGGCTGTTTGGTTGTGTACAATCTTATGGAAAGTACTGAGGCGCATATCCTTGCGTCTTTTTTCTAGTGAGGGCCATCTCCGCGTATTCAGCATGTCACCAACGTACGCTGGACAAGTTCCGGTGCCTGTTTGTGTCATACCGAGCAGTTCTACGTTGCACCATTTCTATTTTATGGATGTCTGTCTTATTGTAGGGGCCCCATACAGTACATGCATATTCAAGAGATGGCCTGACGAGGGCTTTGTATGCATTTTCCTTGAGAGATGTGGAACCTATTTTAAGATTTTTACGAAGGAAGCCTAGGGTGGAGTTGGCTTTTGCACCGACTTTATTTATATGAGTGTCCCACTTGAGTACT